CCCCAAAACCCCAAAACCCCAAAACCCCAAAACCCCATAAAGCTATTAAAAAGCTAATGTTTGAAATGATTGAGAAACATATTGGAATAAATTAATGAAGTTTGTCAGTTAATAGTGAAAGAGTCATCAATTTTTGACCTGAGGCTCGTCTATGCCGAGTAATTGAATGTCGACAGCCTTTTTAGTCTATTTATTTTTCTTGTTTATGTAGTTCATTATTACGAATGATACATGAATTGTATAATCATACTTGGCTCTAAAAAGCAGTTCTTTTGTAATACTGCCCTTCTATAGGTCATCATAGTGAGCAAAGATCTCTTAATTATCTGGTAAGATAATGAAACCATAGCTTGCTGCTTCGTTGTAGAACTTGATTTTACCAACTACTCGCTGTTGAAGTTATTCAACTTTTTGTGATACTTCATTTGTTGAGGTATTTAGGCTAGAAGACTACTGAGACAAGTGAGGTTATGGGCTAGTATTAATAGGTATAGGCTGAGTAATTTGGGGTTAGTGGTTTCCGATTTGCATTTGTGGCATTTTTTAGAACTCAGGTTGATATCTATTTTGAATGATCATCGATTAGTCCTTGGCTATTAATTGAGGATTAAACTAGAGATGAGAGGACTAATTTTGTAATGTAAAACTTTTATTTTGCTAATGAATCAGAGGCGAATGTACATTTGGCTAGATGAAAACATTAGGGCTTTAGTGAATCATTTACTAGGATATCATTTGCTACTGTTATTATTGTTGTTGATAAAACTAGCCTGGAATCATTTAAGTATTTATTGAGACCATTGGATTAGCATGCATATTATTTAACATCTAATGATGATTTTGCATTGTAATCTGCTATTAAGCAGGCTAGTGCTAAATAAAAGCTGATTATTGCATTATTTAATTAGATAAGTGAGGAGATCCTTAGATTACTGCATTATTCATATTCTGCTAGTTGATAAACGCTTAATGCGTAGTAGGTGTACTATTCGCTAGAACGAAGGGCTAAATTCTCTCTTTTTGCATTGCCAATGGATGAAACTTGTTTTACTCAGGAGAAACCATAATTGGATTTGTATTCATATATTATGACGGCTACATTTACTGATGCTAGTTTAAGTGTAGAGGTCTTTATATTTAATTTTGGTGTTATTGCTGGTGTAAAAGCTGCTAATGTTGTTGCTACTGTTGTTATTGGTGTTGAATCTTATAGTTTATCTGTTCATTTAGATTTAAAATGTTTTGGTAAGGAGTAGTACTTGGAAGATTTTACTAGAGTTAAGAATGAGCGGTTTTTTACAACATATGCTAGTTATGATTGCTGTAGTTAATTTTTGAGCCCTAAGACTAGGATATAAGAGGGGAATTTATAGAATTTAAACTAAGACTATCATTGTTAACATTCCTTATCTGAATAGCCTCAATAGGAATATTTCTCTGAGGCAAAAATTTTAAATGAATCTCATCTTACTTAGGATTAGCTACCTTGAGTTTCATATAGGATGGAGTATCTGATAAATTGTGAGAATCTTTGCTTAAAACACTCATATTGTTACTTATATGCTCTGTTTGAACTTTTTTGACATTAGGCCTGAATTCATTTGCATTTTAGTTTAACGTAGATTTAGTTGTTAGAACCTCTTAGAAGGTATTTTTATTGATAGAATCATTCACCTTGTGGTTTCCTTTTTTATCATACCCACTTTTTTTCATCTCTCCAAAGGTAGGCAGAAAATCATGGGATGAGGATAATCTAGGCTTGAATCTAGGATGCTATTATTGGTTTTGTTATTAAATCTCGGTTTATTATTTCTATAACAGTAAATTGATTCCCTTATCTGTGATGTTAAGCTACTCATTAATGTTAAAAGGATCCTAAGTAAAGATAGATTGGCTATGGTGAGAAGATTTGGAAGAACCGAGGTGTTCTTAGGAAGATGAGTCATCATCATTGAGTTCCTATCCATCACCAATTTCTTCATCAGAAAATAATTCAATGGAGTTCTGTCTTGGTCTAGGTTTTGAGAAATCCCCATCTTCTTCTGAGCTTTGATTTGCTTCATCCAGATATTCATTTACACCTTTTAAAGATGATTTCTTTATGATACCTTTTATTACAATCTCTTAGAAATCATCATCTTCATCTTTCTCATCTTCTAGGAAGGCTAATTTCTTGATTGGTTTCTTTTAGCTCTGTTCATTTTTGTTTGATGAATCTGTCTTTTCTGTAACTGTTGTAGAGGATTTAATCCAGTTTAGATATGCATCGTTAGTGTATATATCTGTTTGTTTAACTTTTGCTTAGCTTTCGATCATATCTCTCTATTCATCATCATTCTTTGCCAATGAAGATAACTCAGCTTGGTTAGATATATCTTTTATTATATTCTGTACTTATCCCGCTTTTTGAATGTATCCTTTTGAATAGCAAATGTCATAGGTACTATCTACTATGGTTATCCATATTCTTTTATCTCCCTTGTTTTTCAAATTCATATTGAATTGAAATACTTCAAAGTCATCATCACAGAATATTAGGGAGAGAGAAACATTATAAATGAAACAGAGAATTACTAATTCAATCTAAAATAGTAAAATTAGCATCATGCTTTATATTATATAATGATTTTATTAGTCTTCGTACCTCATGATCACAAAATCTATTGTTCTAGATTTAATTTAGAAAATTCTCGTAGCAATCAATACTATCGCTGTTCATTTCAAGAACCTTGTTGAATTACTATAATTCAATGAATAAGTAATTATCTTATATTTCTTACATTGGGATTCGACTAAATATAGTCTATAAATATTTTTTAGATCTCCATAAAATTCATTTAAGAGAATGAAAAGAAGTCTGAAAATATTCTGTAAATTGCTTGATTGTCAGGAATGATTCTCTTAATATATACTCCTTTAGAATCAAAAACCTAGCAAACCTTAAATTGATTGATGTAGTAATCTTCATACGCTTAATTTTTAAGAGCAGCATGTTTTTACTAAGTAGCTTTTATTTTTTTCAATTCTTTGATAACTCTAGATGCAGTAAAGAAATCAAAAGAACCTCCTGGAGTTATTTCATGTTGTTTCTTTTTGAAGGAAGCTAAGTCTCCTGAAAAGTAATTATTTTCCTAAGAGAAATGGTCGAATCGGTGCACATTAAAGGAGGCATGCTGCATTATATGCTTAGACTGGTGAGAATCAATAAATGTCTTTTAAGCTTGTGACATATCACAAAAAGGTGTATGATTAATTTTATATTAAATCAAATAATATCTAGGCAGAATACTAAAATATAATGAGATAATTATTTGTATGATGGCTAATGATTTCTCTATTGTGACAATAATCAAATTATATCAAATATTTTTATTCAGTCCATCCTCATGGGGTTTTGGGGTTTTGGGGTTTTGGGGTTTTGGGG